TTGCTCTGTCTCCCATATCTACTCCTCCTCTGCAGTTCTTTGTTGCTGGATTCTCTCTAAGTTCCTCCAGAGTGTTTCCTTCTTTTGGTTCCTAAGTTCCCTGACAGTTCAGCCTGGATTTATGCTTCTATTGCCATGAAGTTCATCCTTAAACCTACAGGAAACCACCTCCGCTTCCGTCTCTCCATTTGGGTCCTCTACAAACATCCAAACAACTTGACAATGACAAAAATTGTAATAAATCCAAATTGTCAATCGTCAAATTTCTCTACTATATTTTTTCAGAAGAGCAAAAGAAGAAGGACTGATGTAAAAATGAATGAGTGAAATTAACGCCTCACCACTGACGGAAGAGCAGATTGGTTTACGCAACTGATCACAGCCAATGTCGTTCCATTCGCCACTTCCTGTCATCTCCAAACAGCTCTCTCCGGATCCTCCATTGTTGTCCGGTTGTCCAGTCGGCCAGTTTCTGTACAGAGTCCCGTAGTCCTGGTAGAAAGCCTCGTCAGACAGGGACCATCTCCAGCTGTTCACATCCTCATACAGACCAATCCAGGCCTGCAGGGAAAACAGAGGCCTTCATCCAAAGGTTCCAGCCTTAACGACTTCATTTAACTCTATTAGTCTTTTTCTATTCTTTGGGAGTTTTTTTTATATATAAAGAGGTTTTTGGTATTTTGTCTTTTTTTGTAATTTCTTCAGAAATTCTAAGCAGAAATAATGAGCTCAAACAGGTTAACTAAAAACTTCACTTCTAGCTCAAATAAATTTATAAGAAAACTAAGATGCAAAGAAAATCGAAAGACCAAAGTTAAATAATAATATCTAAAAAGAAATTAAGTTTTATATCATCAAAAAATTGAGAATGGTCTTCGTCATTCAGGTCAGCATTTATTGATTTCCTCAGAGAGTGCATATATCTAATTAACTTATTTTAAGAGAAAAAAATATTCCTTCTATTGTCAAATCAGTTTCAATTCTATTCAGTTTATTTCTATAGCTCCAATTCACAACATGTCATCTCAGGTCACTTTCC